CAATCAGTTCTTTCAAAGTCTTGCTTTTTACTGGATGCTTTGATGAGGGGCTTTGTGAGGACAACAGTTTACAGAACAAAAGAGATTGTGCAGTGCATTTTATTCAGTGAGTGAGTAATGCAGGAGTTTTAGAGGAGAAATGAGGCTCTCCAGTCATCTGTATCACATTCAGAATGTCATCAGAGAGGAAGTCAGGGTTGTGTTGGAAAAGAAGCTGATTGGGCCCTACACAGTGGAAGCTGTTACAGAAAAGGCAACCCTTACCATGATGGTGATGAGGTGTGAGAAGGCCCTCCGTGCTTTTGAGAACCGTTGCTTCCAACGACCCTATAGAGTTAGGCTGTTTTCTCAGAATCTGCCTTGTTATGTGAATGCTGGGCATAGAGAAAGCTAAAGTGCTACTCCCAAAGCAAATGAAGTCCCACATTGGAGTCTATAAAGATAACAACTTTGAAACATTTTAAGTTGGCAGCTAATAGGTTGCAGTGCCAAAGTGAATCACTATCCAACAAGGAGTATGATGGAATCAATTTCACATGTTTATTTTCTGTTGTTTCGTTTTATGAGATGGGGTGTCTTGCTATATTTCTCAGTCTAGCCTCAAATTCCTGAGCTCAAACTATCCTCCAGTCTCTCAATAGCTGTGACTATAGGCATGGGCTTTCATCCCTAACGTGGCTGATATCTCTTATTCCTGCTTCCTGAAATGATCCTTTGGTTAGTGCTCAGGGAAGGACATTTAAAATGACCATTGTTGTGCTGAGGAGATGGCTCAATGGGTGAGAACATTTACTGTGAGAGCACGAGGAGCTGACTTCAGATCCACAGGACCCAGGTAAAAAAGCACGGCATGGCCAGGTATGACTATAACCTAGTGCTAAGTGAGGGCTGGGCTGAGTACTGAAAGTGTGAAGGGACAGGTTTCTGTATGTGTTCTGCCAGAAACAGTAAGACTAATGTCCATCTGAATTGGTTCAGGAGCCAGAAAGAGCCCCAGCTGCTTCGCTGGGTATGGCTCAAGAAGCAGCTCGCTCCTCGTTAATGTGATGGCCTTGCTACAAGAAGTGGAAGAAAGTAAAGAAGGCATTCTTAGCTTGGGTCCAGGGGAAAGCCAGCCTGGCAGAAATTCTTCAGTTCCCTCAGCCAGGAAGCAGCAATCTACGTAAACAGGAAGTAGAAAAGGCTGGGGGTGAGGGTGGTGGTTAGTTGGGGAGAAACAAGAGCCGAGAGCAGATGGGTTTAAGTGGTTACATGCAAACGAGTCAGATACAGGTCCAGGGCTTTGCATGCCCCTGTCGTTGAGGCCCTGCCTCACAAAGGTGTTTGTGCAGTGTGTGCGGGGTCCCATTCGCAAAAGGGTACACCTTTGAACACCTAAGTTTTGCCAAATATCTGCTAAGTAGTTTATTTTTATTTAATTATCTTAGCATTCTGTGAGCATGGGGCTAGTTGGAAGGTTGAAAAAAAGAAACTGACTCAGAAGGAGTTACTCTGCTTAAATTCATTTATATATCATACGATATATACTATATACACACTGTCTTTAACTGTTAAGCATGATCTGTTGAAAGATGTGGGCCCAGTAATGTGGCTCTGGGTGAAGCCAAACCTCCAGGTTTGATCCTGGACCCCACACAAGGGGAGTGACTCCTGTAAGTTGTCCTCAGATGGAGCTGTGGCATGCCCCAATAAAATAACAAAATGTTCAAAAAAACTTTAAAGAAGACACAGCATACTTTCTCCTCTCTACCCTGAGGAGGGTAGAGAGTGAGTGAGTGTAGAGGGTAGTGAGTGTGTGGCCTGCTAGGTGTCTGACCACCTCATGATGAAGCTGAACATCTTCTCAGCTACCATCTGTCAGAAACTCATTGAACCAGAAGAACTTATTTTTCATGAGAAGTTAATGCCACAGAAGTTGCTGCTGAGAGCATCTGCTTCTAAGTCAGAGTGCAATACAAAATAAGAGTATGTAAGAGTAACAAATAAATGATCATATTCGAAAAAAAAAAAGGAGTATTGAAGAAAGAGTTTAGAGAGGAGAAAGAGAAGAAAGGACTAGGGAGAGTGCTAGGGATGATTGATATAATCAAATAAACATCATAATATGAACATTTCATAATAATACTACTTTTGAAAAAGATTTTTAAATTACATGTATGTGCGTATTGTGTCTGTGTATTTATACACTTGTGTGTGGGTATCTGTGGAGCCCAGAAGAGGGAATCAGATCTCCTGTGCTGGAGTTATAGGTGGTTTAAGATGCCCAGCAAAGGTGCTCAGAACGGAACGTTGGTCCTCTGCAAGAGCAGTGCTCACTTTTAATTACTGAGCCATCTCTCTGGCCCTTCACAATGGCATTTCCAGTTTGACTAATTAATATGCACTAATAAAAACTAAAAAAGATTTCTAGTAATGATAGCAAATTGCCATTAACATTGTGGTTTAAGCGACAGCAGAAATCTGTTATTCCTCTTTGAAGGCCTGAATTTGAAAACCAGGCGTCATCAGGGCCCGACTTCTGATGGCTCTAGCAGAGAACCCTTCCTTACTTGGCCAGCTTCTGGTGACTGACTTCAAGTATTCTTATCTTTTTGCTCTTTGTCTTGTCACTCTCTCTCTCTTATAAGAATGCTTGTCCCAGGCTCATCTAGCATCCTTAAATCATTATTGCAAGGACCTGTCATTCAAATAAGGCAGCATTTTCAGAGGCTGGATATTAGTACATGGACATATTTTCGGAGCCAACATTCAACTATGTAAAAGGGGTATCATTACTATATACATGCTGATTTCATAGTGTTTTTAGATACAAACTTAGAATTGAAAGATATATTAAAAAATTTGCATTTTCACATCCATGCATTTTATTTAAAAAAAACCTTTTAAAGGCAATTAGTTAGAATAATTAAGTGAGTCACCACTGTAGCAGAAAAAGAGGTTGGTGAAGTAGGCGTTTAAGTACTGAAGACAAGTAAAAGAGTGAAACTGTTTACATTTCATTACATTTTAACAGGGACTCATGGATGCCTGCTAACGTAAGTGACATTTCATAAGTTTAGGCAGTTGACAACACTTTTAGAAAGTAGATAATAATACACAAATAAGGTATTATAGAAACTTTTACGAGGAACAAAATGTTCACTGTAATCCTTTTAAGAGGCTTAGTCCATTTTGGAAGATCAACAATGAATCTTTTAAAAATCAAAAGAAAAGTCCCTCTCCTAATTCTAAATACATAAGAAGTGCTCGCTGGCATTTGTATTTCATGAGTCTGGAATAAAATGGCCAGTGTTCTAAAACACTGCACAAGGCCTGATTCTTTGATTTAGCACCAAGTAAAATAAACATATTCCATGGAAGATGTACTTGTTTTTTTTTTATTCCACCACTCACATTCTCCTACTTTTGCTAGCCCACAATATGTAACAGTACATCTGTCTCCCACTAAGAAATCTAAAATGATCGCTCAGGCTAGATCTGGTGGCCTGCCCCTGCAATTCTAGTATTCAGGAGGCTGGAGAAGGATCATCAGTGTGAGGCTAGCCTAGGATACCTAGCAACATCAAAGACCATCTGGGCTGCAAAGCAAGACTCTTTCTCAAAAGTTGGGGACGTAGCTTAGAGGTAGGGTATATGGCTCGAAGGCCCTGAGTTGTATCCCTAACACTGCTTAGATGATATCAGGAGACGTCTTTCCCTTTAATATAGGGTGGCAAATGGTGACACACACTTACAGTGATCTCAGCCCTTGAGAGGGGCTAAGGTAAGGAATATTGAGTTCAAGGCCTTTAACTATAAGTGCTTTTAAATTCTTGAATCATCTCTCTAATTACTCAAACAAGTCACATTTTTAATATACTGATGGATGCATTTCTTTAAAATAGCAAATTGTAAATTCTGGTAAACTGAAGACCTATCTAAGGACAAATGCAATATACATACTGCCTTACATGTTTTTTTTTTTTTTTTTTTTTAGTAGAAATTCAGCAATGGCTTTGCATCCTACAACTGATCTATAAATCTGGAAAATTATATAGTATCTCCCAAAAGGATACTATACTCTGAGGTTAGAAAACACCCTTTGTGGGGGATTCTCCAATGCAAAAGCTTCTAATTAGATATTTTGCTCCAAATGATATATAATTGTTTAAACTTTTCCAGAAAAATATGAAAATTTTATTAATAATTTTTCTGAATGAATAAAAAGCCAGATTATTTCCAATTGATATTTTAATTTCACTGAGAAATTTAAAAAAAGTAACAGCTGTGATGCTTTTGAATTGTATATCCATAGAAGATAAATGGATACACTATGCTAGATGATTTTAAGTCTTAGTATCTGACTCATTTAGCAATTCTCCCTAATATCTCTAAGAAATTAGTGAAAATAAATAATATATTTCAAACAATTCGTACATGCTGACTCTTAGGAAAGGAGATGCTAAGTGCAGACAAGAAACTTCTGCTCTTCCTATTAGCTATTGTTTTCATCCTCAGGGAATAACAGAGGCTTCCTGGACTGTCTGTCTGTAAGAAAGCACATTCAGGGCTGAAAAGGTAGCTCAGCTTTAAAGAGAACTTGCTCTTGCAGAGGCCCCGACACGGTGGCTCACAATCATCTTCAGGTCCAGTTCTAGGGGATCCGATGCCCTCTTTGGCCTCTGTGGGCACCAGGCACAGATGTGGTACACATGCATACATTCAGTCAAGACACTCACATATATAAAGTAAGTTTTTAAAAAATTTAAAAAAGAAAACAGAGGGCCTGATTGGTTTCTGTTTTAAGCTATCAATCTCTGTTTTGTTTTTGTTTTGTTTTGTTTTGTTTTTGTTTGTTTTTGAAAGGTTCTACATTTTATTACTGGACAAACTCCACCCCCAATTTAGACAAGACCAAATCTCCAGGTTAAAAATGTAAAACTTCATCTGGTAGGATTGGTCGATGACCATGACTCAGTATAAACCTTCAGTCCTGTCACTGTGTGAATCCTCACAGACCCTCACAGCTTCGTTCTCCTCCAGTGTCTTCTCTTGGAGTTGTACCTGATTTTGTTACCAGTTTTCATCCAAATCCATTGAGGAATAGGATGATTTTGCTTTTGTTTCTTGGCCAGGGATCGCTTGATTCTGAAAGCCTTGTGAGAAGACATGGCAAGAAGCTGAGATAGGTGTAAGGCGCACGATGGCAAGGCAAGGCAAGGCAAGGCAAGAGTGCCTTCAGTTGCTTGATGATCATTTCTGTTCTGTCTTCCTTAGATTAAGTCAGAAGTTCTGTCAAGTCATCAATGCCTGCAGTTTGGGGAGGGTTGGATTCCATACTGTGCACTTGGCCACGGGCTGCATGAATCCAGTGAGCAGTGAAGTGTTACTTAATGACCTCAAATGGCATGCTCAAGCTTTTCCCCATGTCTGTCTGGGTAAGCGCTACGTGGGGTGTGTGCCTGTGGAAGTGAATATAACAGCCAGCTTTACCGGGTGAGGTTTTCCAGCTGAATCGTATGTAAAATGATACAATCAGCCCCTGGCTTCTTTTTTATCGAAGCTCAGATTCCTTCTTTGCTATTTGTATTTTCAGGCAGCTTCCTGAGGTCTGTTGGTGATGTCAGACTTAGATTCCCATTTTAAATCTGAACCTGATAGAAGATCTAGAAAAAGAAAAGACAAAAAAAAAAAAAAAAAAAAAAAAAAAAAAGCCCTTTGGCCCCAGTTCTCACTAGCACAAATTGGATCATGTGCTTATTTCTGAACCAGTCACATTCTCTCTGATTGGGTAGGCCAGGATCATGTGTTTACCACTGGGTGTAGAGAAGGACCTTTCCACAAAGTCAAATCAACAGGAAAAACGGCAGTAGAGGCAGATGGGGATACAGTCAGTGTGTGTAGAATTTGAAATTTTATAATTTTTGGTTCCCAATAAAAATAACTTAAAGGTTTAAAAATAGGTATTAATATGAGTTTTATTTAGAACCAAAAAGTAAATGATCAGAATCTTGGCTATTTGGGTTATTTTCTCCTAAGACTGAGTTAGGTAGTTTACTAGAAATGCTAGAACACTCCTACTTGGTGACTGCAGTCCAGGTTCCTCACCTCATCTGAACATTTTATGATCTGGGGACCCTGGCAAGGGAAGGAATCTAAGGCTGCAATTCTGTGAGCTTTACAATAAATCCTCGTCTGGATGAAGATCGAATACATCAGCAAGTGTTCATTTCTTGAGTGCAGAGTTCTTGTTTAAAAGAACGCAGATCTGGATGTCTATCTAAGCAGGTCTGTCCTGGTCGCCACATCTGGGAAACTCAGGTGTTGGCAGTGTGTATGATTATCATTTTGTACTTTGTGGCACTGGCCAACCCCAGCTGGATTTTTGCTACACTGATTTTAACAGCTCTGCACTCACGTAATTCAGTGCTGTAAAAGGCCATGTTTTACTTGGCACTGATGCTCCAATAAACTTACAGGGACTATTGGCCCCAGGAGCCAAGGGCTGAGCCTGTCCCAGCACAGCTCCTGCTGTGTTCTAATCTCTTCTTTTCTGTCACCTCTCTTTTTCCTCCTCCTGTTTCCCCACCTCATTCCTTCCTCTTCTCTTACTCCCTGATTGTTTTGACAGATCATTTGGTTCAGACAGTACATCACACATGAGGCCTAAATTATGAGTAAATTCCATTGACGTCAGGCCATTTGTACATCCAGTGAATTTGGCTCAGTTTTTGGCATCTCTAAGCTGTGTCCATTGCAGCCCCAGACAAGTGCCTTCAGGGCAACGGAGGCATTCCAGATAGTAGTAGTCAGCCATGAATACTCCCCCAGCACATGGCCTCCCATCTGGTCCAGCACTCAGCATGCCACAGGCCACTGTGGGCACATCCCTGCAGCTGCTGTTGACTCTTGGAAGGAGCACAGCAAACATTCTGTGACTTATCAGGGGAACCCTGCAGATGATTAACTCCAGGTTCATTATAGGGTACATTTCCACCCAAGTGGACTCTAGGCTGGGGGTAAAAGCAGGGTAGCAGAAAGGGCAGAGATAGAACACCAGGAGTTTGACGGTGAGTTTCGACTGTATTCCCTAGCAAAGGAGACATAACAGTAGGGGGAAAAACCTGAAGACTGACACACAGAGATTCAGTTCCCTGCTTTTACTTCTACCTGTGTGAATCTGCTAGATAGAGGCAGGTGGGTATCTGACCATTGCTTTCCTACAGTCTTATTTCTGAAAATAGCAGTCTCTTGCTTTTGTGATAGCTTTTCTGGTCCACATGACCTTAGGGCTCTGTTCTCAACCCATAAGTCCTTTTTTACCCCCAGAAGCAGTGCCTAGTAGGGTCAATTCCAGTATCAGAGCATTTAGACACAGTGAATGAGGTTGAGGTTTATGCTAGCCCACTACACTCCTTCCCTGAAAGTTCTCTCAGTTTCCATATTGGATCAGCGCTCCGTAAGAATGATAAAATGCCTTACCAATGGCAAAATAAGGGAGAGAGGAGGATAGCCGCTGTGGCTGGGAGAGGTAGAAACATCCAAAGAAAAAAGGCTTCTCCCCTGACTCATGCCACCACTGTCCAGACTTATGAAGGCAGTGTGTGTGTGTGTGTGTGTGTGTGTGTGTGTGTGAAGTGATTATACACATGTGAAATTATCATTTCAGAGGCAACAGGACCTCATTAGGAACAAACTCAACATGCAAAACCAGTGCTGTTTGTCAAGTTTTCTAAAACATTTCATGTCTTACCCTTAAAATTGAGGATACCACATTTAACCTTTTCTGGATGGTTCAGGGTCATCAAAAGTTTCAATTAATATGCTGTGTGATAATATGGCTTGAATGGGCTCCTTCTTCCTCCCTCGTTCCCTCCCTCCTTTTTTTTTTCGTCCTTTGTCAAAGCCAGGAGCTACGGAGGGACAGGTTTTACATTTGGCTTCTGGGACCAATGATCCTTGTAGGTTGGAAGCATCAGTGCCAAACAAAAAAAACAAAACAATAAAACAAAAAACAAAACATGGCCTTCCATGTCAGAGGGTAAAACTGCCCTTCCTTCTTTCCTTTTTCTCCCCTTGCCTTGAACAGTCACGTGCTACACTCCCTAACTCCTGCCGTCTTATCCAAGCACCACAGGGCAAGCTCCCAAGCAGACTGAGCTTGAGGTCCCTGGCCTCACAAGTGTCCTCCTATCTCAAATCTCCCCTCCCAGGGTCCTGCTGGACTTCTTCATACTTCCTGCTGTTAATTGACCACACCAGTGATGTAGCTTTTCTGTGACTGCCCTTTGGTCCTTTTCCTCTTTGAAGCTGGGCACAGTTTCAACTGTATTGAGCTAAGCTGGGATCTCATGACCAGGGAGCAAATGCTGGTGTTTCTGTCTCCTTTCACATGTTTTAATGGATTGGGGTTATTTATTGCAGAAGCAAATAAACTTAGGGCACTACAGAAGCCTCTAGGGTAGGAATGAATATAGCTGGGATAGGGGGAGGTTTATAGAAGGCAACGTTATGGAAATCAGTTGTTGGGAGCATCAGTTATATCTTCTAAGCGATTAGCTAATTACAGTTGCATTTCTGTATCAAATTTTAAAATCCCTCAGCTCAGCTGATTGCTTACTGGCACCAATTCTCTCTGGGATTTACTTTCTTTTGTTTCTTCTCTGTTGATCCATAAACTAAAGGCTCCTGGGGTTAGAATATGTTCAGTTTCAACATATTATAATCTCTTTACTTCCAAAAAAGATACTATAACAATAGTAAAACATACATGCATTTGAATACATGTTAAAAATGCATTGTAACACTTCTCCAGACTTAAGGAGTGCTAACATGGTCAAAATATTCTACTTGCATGAATGTTATTTAAAACTATAGGAAACATGGCAGAGGATGAACCATTCAGAATAAAAAACTTAAATTAACTATCAACATTCCATCTGTATGTTAAGACCTTTAGAAACCTCTGACCCATGGTATATTCTCAATGAGTCACCAAGCAGCTGCTCTTCTCATTCCCCCTTTACAGAGCCACATTGACAAGGAAGCCGCAGGCCTATGTCCCTATCTCTACTATGGATGCAGAAATCTGTCCCCCACTCCTTATTCTGTGTCAGTTTGTCTTACCCTTGTCTTAGTGTAGTGGGTTTTCTTCGTGTGTGTGTGTGTGTGTGTGTGTGTGTGTGTGTGTGTGTGTGTATGTGTGTGCGCGTGCACACGTTTTATAGAGGCCAGAGTTCTGGTGTTTCCTCACTTGCTCTTCCCCTTATTTTTGAGACAGAGTCTTTCACTGAACCTAAAGCTAGATGGGTTGACTTGTCTTCACCTCCCTAGCCACCAGGGTTACAGGCACACCCTGACAAGTGGCTTTTAGATGGGTGCTGGGTATTGAGGACCACTTTACTGACTGAGTTGTTGTGCAGTGAGTTCTCATCCCTGGTTATATACTGAAACCCATTCAGAAAACTTCAAAACAAACAAATGTGATGTTCAGAAGCGGGTGCAGTGGTACACAGTTGTTACCCCAGTTCTTGGGAGCTTGTGGCAGGCAGATTGCAAGTTTGAGGACAGCCTGGACTATGTAGAACTTGTCTGGGGGTTGGAGGAGGAAGAAAAATAAAATCTGATGTCTAGATACAAATGGAATTAATTGCATCAGAGTCCCTGGGTCTGGTGCCTAAGCATAGAATCCCCTCCCTAAAATTTCATTAAGAAGAAGTTTAGAGTAGGAAGTTGAAAATTTACCTGTATAATCACTGCCTAGAGTCTACCATTAGCACAAGTTTTCATATCAATATCCACTGAGCAATATGCATTTTTCTTTGTCTCTCAGTCTCTAAATCAATCATTCCTCCAGACACTAACCCATCTTATTTTTATATAAGTAAGTTAATTATGAGTGTGAAGGAAGGAATTGTTGAGCTTTTATTTACTTATTGAGAATTTCTATTTGCTGAGTAAAGAAAAAAAACTGTGATTGTAATTGTACAGCACTGTGAGTATAATATCACTATATCCTTAAGTTGTTAGGGAGACAATTCTTCCTTCCTTCCTTCTTTCCTTCCTTCCTCCCTCTCTCTTTCTTTCTTTTTTTTTAAATGAAGTCATACTTTATAGCCCAGGCTGGCTTTGAATTCTCAATTCCCTTCACCTCAGTCTCTAAAAATGATCCATTATGTGTGAGA